TGAAAAAGTTTAATCTAAGTTGTCATTTGTACTATTGGCCTCGTGGCCACATTTATGAAATAAACCTGTCTGTCTGTGTTTAAAACAAAAACGAGCTATTGGAAGTTGAAAACCTTTCCACTTTCATATGTCACCTGTCATGACTTACAGCATTGTGTATAGTTCTTGTGGTCACTGTAAATTCTGTACGGTTTTTGTTGCCCTTACTTCACACGGGTGATCCCGAGTGAGTGAGTATGGTTTTACGCCGCTTTGTCCATCCATTTTACGACTGGAATATCAAAAACCTGACCGTACCCATATTGGGAACCAAACTCGGATCTCCGTTCACTAGACAACCTCTCTATCCTGTTAGGGTATACTTTTATACAGGGTATGTATTCTTCCCTTAGTTCCAAGTGGAATTCATCAGAAGTGAATGGCAGCTTTCCGTTCAATAAATTTGTGTCATTTTTAAAGGAACAAGTCAATGAACATGTGTTAGCAACAAGTGAGTACGGACTTACAACCAAGCCTCATATAAAACATGGTGTGCCCATCGGTAAGTGCAGCATTATTTTCCAAGCTCGAGTGACTTATGAACTGGGAGGGCCAAGTAAACATAATTTGACCTCTACAGTAATGTCCCCTTCTCCCCAACACACTTGCCATTAAGTGTTCTAACTACACCGAATAAGCTTGTAGTTAAAGAAAGTACTTGACCATGTTATCGTCGGCGATCACCCCCAGGTAGCCATTGTAGTGGACGACAGGGAGTCAAGGGCACATCAGGGATGGGAAGAGAAGCTAGGATTCCGCCACAGTCAATAACTTTATGACAACCAAATCGTGGGAATCTTCGTGCCATGTGGGAGCTTTGTCAGAATACGACCTGATAGACAGTTAGTGGGAGATGTTAAAACGTTTAAGTTAGGACGATGTGTGTGATCATGCATAAGTCGAAGTTATTTGCTGTTTGTTTGTTTGTTTGTTTGTTGTATAACGCCGCAATCAGCAATATCCCAGCTGTATGGCGACGGTCTGTAGATGATCTTGTCTCGACCAGACAATCCAGTGATCAACATCATGAGCATCGATCTATGCATTTGGGATACGATGACATGTGTCAACCAAGTCAGCAGGCCTGACCACCCGATCCGGTTAGTCGCCTCTTACCTCACTGGTAGCTGAAGACCAGCTCTAACCTAAGTTCTCTGAGTTATGTTAGGTTATCAAAATGTATCGACTGGTCAGACAAGAGCAACGCCCAACGACGCTGGGGCACAATAAAACGCGATCGAAACGGTCACCTGCACTCGATCCATTCTAACCTGAACACTAACCACACGGACAGTTTAAGAACTGACAGCTTCGATTTATCATTTCCTCCGATATTGCGTTTATCAAAGTTACAATTAACTGTGTATAACGTTTATTTATATTTGATGTGTAACAAGGAGTCGTAAACATTTCTATTTGCCATTTTCTCATTTCATTGCCAAACGTGCCTATCCCCCAATGTAATTAACTAGAATATATAATTAAGTGAAAAGTAATTCTTATTCCGTTTCTAGCCTAGTTTCTTCCTTGTAGTGCATGCCATGTCCGGATCCCATGTAACACATACAAAACCAAGCGGTGATTAGACAAAACGAGACCAGTTTAAAGGAGCAGAAAAACTAAATATCAGGTGCTTGCGAAGAAAACATGTTCAGCATACCAGACAATGGTAGAATTTCACGCTGACGGCGAAGAAGGAAGGCGCTCGGAGGTTTTACAGGCGTCAACAGTTGAATTCAGTATGTTGCCGAATGCAATGGCGGTATTTCAGACGTGTGTTCTCTTGTCGAGGAATGCAGTAACATGGCTATGCAGTAATATGAAGGGAAACAGACAGGGCGGTATGAAGAAAATTAAATTACAATGAAAAGGAGCTGTGATAAAAAACTGTATGGGTTGTCACAGCATTTACCTACAAATACAGATCCCTTCAAGGTTCCGCATTACGTGACTGTGACATGGATAAAGGGTTGAGACAGGGTGGATACACTTTCCCCTACTTATTAATGTATGTTGGCGCGATTACAACCCATCCATCCCGTTCTGGACGCAAGCGATTTCGCTCTTTAACGTTGTAGTTTAGGGCAAACTATTTACTATATAGTACTCCATTGCACTATACATGGGGGAGCGAACTGTATTTCTTAATTCAGCCGCTGTAATAAGGATATAGGTTTGAGGCAGGAATATCTCTTTGACTCAACGCTTTCCTTGCATACCTTTTTGCGAGCACTTAGTGTCGCGAGCTATTTGATTATACAACTGCTACCGTTATTTTGCTCTTTAAGCACAATGGAATCGAGACATATTACTCTCTGACTTTGTAGTATAGGGTCATGCCACTTATTACTTCATATCTTTCTTGTTTCTGTAACCAGCGAACGAAATATGTCATATTAGAAATGGTCTCAGTCTACGCAATCTTCTCTTATGCAGTAAATTGAATGAAATCCACATAATAGAAAGAAGAAATATATGAGTAAAGGAAGTAATGTGAGCTATATCAGGATAGAGTTACTACAAAAATATTATCTGACATTGAGGCCAGTGGTGGAAGTGCATCTACAATATCACAGCGAAATTGTAGCGGCATAACCTGAAAATACATCAACACAAAGGGGAAAGCAGATTGTGTCATGCCACATTCATCAACATTTCATGATCAGCTACATGGCTTCGGCATGTTCATATTCGAGTCTGGACCAGACTATCCCGTGTTTGGTTACCGTCAGGTTACCATAAAACACAATTAACCAAATCGCAGAGTCAGACCATCTGATCAAGACGACCAGGTTGCTGGGGGGACGTTCCCACGCGTCGCTGTAGCTGCTAGCGTGCTGCGTGACTGTGTTGTCTCTACAGCGCCAGAGATATTTATTCTCGCACGAGCAGTCTGTCTAAGTATTTGATGACAGAAGGATTCGTTCAACTCATCCGGAATAATCTTGAGCACCCAACAAAAACTGATAGGCGTAATCTTGTAATCGTCACTGCAACCCGTATAACCCAGCCGGAAAGATATATTTTCAGTCATTTGGTGATTTTTAATTTCATTTCAAACCATACAATGTTTTGTTACAGTTTATTATGTATGTTTTAATAGTGTGTGTTTATTTACCTGTGTTACCATTCACCCAGACAAGACGGTAACAATAGAGTCCCATTGATCTTAGCGGCAGCACAAACAGTGTCAACCAGGCTTTAACAGCCACATTATCTGGCCCCCTTGTTCGACAGGGTATCGGTACGTATCGATATATAGGAGAAGAAATTCAATCACTGCTGGTGTATGGTTGGCGGGACACGAATGGTCGCCATATTGTGTGTACCCTGGCTCCGTGACGACGAGCAGACGACGGGGACACTTTCAACAGGGTCTTGGGTATGGAGGTTCGTCGTGCTCTACCGCCATGTAAAGTGGTATATACCACACTTTCACTAGAATGGTGCAGTGACGCCAATACAGTGTGACGTAATGTAAAAACGTGTACATTATCGTCCGTTAAAGTACTGCAGAGGCGGATACAGCTTTTTGAAAAAGGGGGGTGCACACTCTTGAAAAAATGAGGGGTGCACACTTCATTTTCACCCGTTTTCATGGGTCATTTAATAAACTTTCAGGACGAACGGGGGGGGGGCACCCCTGACCCCCCCTCTCTGGATCCACCTATGTACTATCGGCGCCTTTGATCTTTCACCGAAGCATCTAAGAATATACTATAATTTAGTTTCATAGTTGAGTGATTGTGTGTGCCCCAAGACTTGGCGAGGGCCTTGAAACATTCAAGCATTCACGAGTTTTGAGGTTGTTTTGTATTCCTTAATGTCATAACACTGCAAGTGAAAATGAAAATGGAATGTTTAGCTTTGGACAAAAACTTGATTGACATATTGCTGTCAATTTCTGACGTCATGAACCAAGGATGACGTCATACCACATATTTTCAATAATGAAAACTAGTGCTTCCATTGACAAGCCAGCATTGAAACTCGCCCAAACGGAACAGAGAAAATATCGGAGAGTTATTACATAGGATATTTCAACCCCATGGATAATTCTGAGTAACTTCCTTATAAGACGTGACCTTTAGGAAGGGTACATCTTTAGCCATGTTCTTGTGATCTGTGTGCATGGTTTAAGAGTTGGTAAACTCATAATCAAGGAAAAGAATGAGGCTGATGAATTGAAAGGACGTGGAAGGAAAAGATAATCATATGTCATACTCACATAGACCACTTTAAGGGACATGCTTATAAGTGAGTGAGTGAGTTTTACGCCGCTTTTAGCAATATTTCAGCAATATCATGGCAGGGGACACCAGAAATGGGCCACGCATATAATTGTACCCAGATTTGCTCATGATATTCCACAGTGGGGATTCGGGGTTATTTATGTCGCTGGACGTAATGGAGAGGGTGGTTAGATTCGGTGACGTGGTTGATGCCTTGTAAAAGTACCGCAATCATTGCTCATAATATCAATCACTAATTTGTCTGATCAAAACTCGAAAATTACAGGCCTCCACCATATTGCTTGAGTAAGTGAGTTAATATTTATCGTCGTATCGGCAATATTTCAGCCATATCGTGACGATCCATATTGCTTGAATCTAGCTGAGTCTTGCGTTTAAAAACAAATTAATGGCAAAAATCTAAATAGCCATACTTCTACACAACTCTCATCAAATCATCCAAACAGAAGTAACGTATTTTCACATCGTCGCTGGGGCGATGGGTAGGGTAGTGGTTAAAGCGTTCGCTCGTCACGCCGAAGGTCCGGGTTCCATTCCCCACATGGTTACAATGTGTGAAGCCCATTCCTGGTGACCGCGTCGTGATATTGCTGGAATATTGCTAAAAGCGGCGTAAAACTAAACTCACACCGTCGCGTAGCAGTATCAAACAGCACCCTTAAATCTCATAAAGCATTACCCAACCCATTACTGAGGGGCGAAGTGAAAGACCCCATTCACCAGCCCGTGTTGGCCGCCTCCACGTCGCGGGAAGGGGGGAGGGAATGTGTGCATTCTGGCGTTCTGCAACGACGTTGTTGTGGGACGTCGTGACATACGACAAGCCAGGTGGATTAGAGAGTGCATCGCCAGAGTTTAACCAAGGATTACCTCCGATTTTGGCCAGCTGACAATATTTCTTGACTCGTCGCTACGGCATCTGTGGGAACTAGCTGTTGGATTCCTTCTGTTGCCGGTAGCCACTTACAGCTTCAAGAAGGTGAGTCTTTACTGGATACACTATTAAGTTATTCTCTTTGACAATTATATTAACGTGTCCAAATCAAACATAAGTTGATAAAGCTCTATATTAGACAACTATTTACCTGCCAGTCCATTGCGCAGATTTCAAAGTATCTGCCATCAAATTTATGTTAGGGCTTAAGGGTAGTAAGGAACACTATCTACCAGCAAGCTCATCTGTATTCTGTGGGATCGCGATTCAGGCCTTATCAATATTTTGCAAAGTAAAATAGATAACAGGTTTTCCTATGCGCGTGGTGACAATCAGTACGCGTCGCTGCCACAACACTATCAGGAAGTTTACGTTTTCTTAAGGAAAATAGGGAAAACGTAATGTATACCTATACTTTAGAAACGTTTCTCGGCGACACTGTACAGACAGTTGTACACTGTACAGACAGTTGTACACTGTACAGACAGTTGTACAGTGATATATGGTAATTAGGAATGTACAGGGTTACGGGTAAGTATACATAATAACGTGGTCCTAAGTACAGTAGTTTGAATTGAGGTAAAATTGTTCCCGGCGCGTGAGCGTTATCGTTTGTGAGATTACCAAGGTTAAGGCAGAGAGACCGTGACACGATATCGCATAACTCGCGCTTCAGATTAACAGATTTAAGGATTATGTTAAGCGTTGATAGACGGGGAAGGGTCACTTCAGGGAGGGGTGGATATATCGAATCTGACCTCAGTCATTGTAGATATGTCTGTTGATTATTTATTGATTCTAACCCCAGATAGTGTTTGAGGAATGTTTGGTCCAACGTAGTCGTGGAATGTGGCATTATTTACAACGTCGTACATTATACCTAGTATTGAGTCAAAATCTCTTATACAGACACTAGTTGTTGCTTTTTCCTTTTTAAAAATGTAGATACTCTCTGCGACCCTTTATGTTCTACACTTACGGGCAAAAGGAAGCCAAATGTACAACCATATTTGATGGGGACTGAAAATGGAACGAAAAAAATAGTTCTTCGATAGTGATGCATCTTACACGGGATCTTGACATATACTCATGCCAATAATGGTTGTCACCCCTCCCCACCCCAACCCCCAACCCCCACCCCCTCTCCAATAACAAAAATTGAAGGGGTGACAACCATTATTGGCATGAGTATATTTCTGAGACTCTTTTGAAAACATTTATACATTTGCAGTCAAATCGAATTTTCAAATGTATTCTTTTATATAAGAAAATTAAACAACAACATCAAACAAAATACAAACAGTTATACTGACCAAGTATTAGCGTGTGAGTAGTGGGAACATTACCATAGTCAGTATGGTTGAATGCAACCTGTATAGAGGTTTGGGTTCCATTCATTGTAAGGGTGCATTGTTCAGTGAAGGATCATGTTTCGATGTTTAATTTGAAATTTGTCCAAACCCCATTAGCATAAGGAGACCGAAGCACAAGGAGCAGCTCATTTCAATATGTGTTAACGTTATACGAGCCTTCGCGCGTCAACGAACCTAAGTCTCAGAAAATATATAATTTTGATCGAAAAAAGTTATTACAGTTAAAATTCATCCCTGTGAGATTGCAGAGCTTGTGGCAAATCTAGACTTGCTTTTGTAGATCTATAGCTTCTCATTGAGGACTTGGCGGGAGGGAAGAATATCGTTCAGGTACTGGAGACCGTCACTGTAAACGTAACGCTCCGGCCTGTCTGATTCATTGTACATTCAAATTACGTGGAATATTCTGTATGCTGCGTTGTAATTTGAACATATCCTCACGACATTGTTTGTCATTATCGTGACTGTATAATTAACCTCACCGGTCCCTAGTGATGGCTTTTCAGCATTAAATATGTATCGCCAAAGACAATGGGGCTGTAATGATCATGACTGGTTCCACCTGTTATCGTTGTTATATTGATGAGCTGCCTCTACCTGAGCACACGTCAACATACCGATCCCAGCTGTAAGATTGTCGCAGCTCACCTTGATCTAGATTTAAAACAGTGTCTGAAAATCGGTTCGGCGGAGAGGCACACGTTATGTATTTTTGTGAGTGAGTATGGTTTTACGCCGTATTTAGCGACATTCCAGCAATATCTCGAATTGTACCCAAGTGGGGGAATCGAACTTGGGTCTTACGAGCGAACGCTGTAACCACTAGGCTAACCACACCGCCCTAATTAGGTATGCATGTATGCGTGCGTGCGTGCGTGCGTGCGTGCGTGCGTGCGTTTAAGTTAACAATTAATAACATCAGCATGACCATTTGAAGCTGGCATATTGTTGTGCTACTAGTATGCATGCCTGCTATGTTATAATATGAATGTGAATTGTGCTTTAAGTGCGTAGTCCTGTTTTGCTGCATGCACGTCCGAGTTGAATAAGTGATTGGGTTACATTGGTTTTGGCACAACTTTGAACTGTGTGTCATTTATATCACGTCATGTCGGTTTAATGTCATAAAGTAAGGCTTGAGGTGATTTAAATCCTAAGCGTTGACGAGTCCTTTATATAGTAGTGACACTTATGCATGTGTGCTGTGTTGTATGTATGCTTTACGAAAAGTCAGTTACTATATCAATTTTAATTCATAATTCTTCCAATCTCCATCCTTACACAACAAGAAACATTTTGCCATCCCTGGTAATAACCCATTATTTTCCTTACAGCCTATCCCTCACTGCAATGCTTAAGCCCTAAATGAAGCAAGTACCAGGTTCAGGATCTCCAATCTCACGGGAGCTCCTTTTCAATTTACATTTTGTGTTACTTATATATATATATATTCTGACTACGCGTTAGTCTATGGCGTTAATTTAGCTAACGGTTCAAACATCAAGCCCACATAGTTCACTGCTCTACGAAGAAGTCGATACCACCAGGGAATCAATCAGGGAAATAAAACACAAGTCAAAGCCTCCGTGGCAGGTGGTCGTCACAGTCTTTAGTTGGGTTCTCTAAAATCACTTGGTATTCATTCTGTCCCCTGGTGCTTCATATATTGGCTATTAGTTCAAACCATTCCGAAGCATATCAGAAAAGAAGACTATGAAACGGGAACAACAAGGTGTCGCTGTCCGTATAAGTATGGAAACTACAGGATCGTAGCAGAATCTGCTTGCGGTTGGGGACTGGATGGGTTGGTTTAGTGTAGGTTGGGTTGGTTTTATGTACTTTATGTAGTATTTACCATCTTTGGTCATAACGTTACCAGTCGGGGTTCACTTCAAGGGCAACCCCTTTAGATGGCCATGGGGAGTTTGTACTACGTTTGTAATCAATTTGAATGCGGACATAGATATTTTACAACGATAGATGGAGGTTACCTACATCAACGACATCTACAAAAATACAAGTGAACACAGTTAAGTCGAACGCGACCGAACTTGTCGGAGTGTTCAACAAATCAAAAAATATATTCTCAAAAGGAATGTGTCATGTTTCATTAGTTCGACACTGGCGAGAATTCGATACATGAGTGTTCGACACAGCGGTGTATATTTGTTATTGGGACTGTAAATGCGAACATGCGAACACCGATGTATCACGGATATGAGTCGCATACAGTAGCCTCTTGATCCAGTAGATACAATAGCATCAAGGCTATTGCATGTCAGCCGCGGATTAGGCTGGTAAAGTGCCCAGCACATGTATCTGTTTACACTAGAGCCTGTTTGATATTGACATGATATTGACACTGTTACATGTGTATCACATTACCGTTAGTCCGTTCACCAACACCTGCATATCATGAACTGTTAACATGGAACCTACAATAAAATAACCGAACTGATACTTCATACATGTAAGAGGCTTGGTCAATGAAATTTAATTTGGCTTAAACAGCTCCATTTAGGTTGAAAGTAACTTGATTGACATGGAAAAATCAGAAAAAGAATCTTTCGAAATTCTGTTTCATTTAAGTCAGTTGCTGGGGGTGTAATCTTATGGTTACAGCAGGTCGCTCGTCACGCAGTAGACCAATGCAGGGTCGATTCACAAGGTGGATACAATTTCTGGTGATTAGAATATTGTTAAGCGCGACGAAAAACCATACTCGCCCACTTGTTTAGGGGTATGTCATAATAGAGTGAGTGAATGAGTTTGGTTTTACGCCGCTTCTAGCAATATTCCAGCAATATCACGGCGGGGGACACCACAAATGGGCTTCACACATTGTGCCCATGTGGGGAATCGAACCCGGGTCTTCGGCGTGACGAGCGAACGCTTTAACCACTGCCCCACCACCCATGTCATAATAATAGAAAGGGCAGAACGGAAAGTTATCTATGTTATGGTTCAGGACTGCGCGACAGACAGCATTCATGATATGGGATGGTGATTGATGGTATTCAACGTGTATGGCCTTGGCCACAGACCCCAGTCGGAGACATGACACTGATGTTTGTGATACATGTCCGTGTGTTCGCAACATTGCCACACGTTCATATATATCCATCAAGATCAACGATAATTCAACTCTCAACTAATCACGCTGACATAATTGATATTATAACGATTATGATAAGACATCTTATACAACGCCTAGCTCCACGTACGGAGTTAACATATCTAGATGGCAAAGAAAGTATAAACTTGAAAATTGGATTTGACCGAAACACTAAAATCGTTATCAAAACGTTAAAAGCCTTAAGACCATCGCCGATACATTTCAAACTTAAGGCCCAAAGAACAACTATAATACCCATATCAAATACACCACTATCGCGTAACCATTGGGTGTTTATTTCATGCCAGACACCTTCAAACATGAGTGTATTAAAATGTGAGAGTACTGGCGAATCAGCTTGCTTGGCAAGAAGTACCTAAGTGTACAAGTAAAGCACACACCAACACAAGAAAAATATATTTCTGAAACTTTGTTCATTTTCCTCGTGGTAATAGGTGTATACATTTACCCGCCAGTTTAACGTATACACTTGCTGGGGGTCCAGGCATCCGAACACAGGCGCCATCAGTCAATGGACTCCTGTACGTATGGGCGAT